ACCCCGTTCTCCCTTTCTTTGCCATATTTGGACCATAGGAGAGAAGGTCCTTATCGAAGTATGCACAATTGTCCCTTCACGCACTTCCTATGCCCTCCTCATGTCTCCCTTGGAAATCCCTTTTCCCTTACTTTGTAAAGTAGAATACCATACTTTAGAAAAAAATTGCCATACTTAAACTCATCTTCTTGACAACACATGTGAAGGGTACTTCTAACATCAAATGTAAGAAAACTGTAAAAGAAGAACTGTTGAAAGGAACAACATACTATTTGAATTGTTTAACCATATCCTTGTGGATTCTGTCGCAGAAGTCCTCCACTGTCCTTCTCTTTGATGATAGAATTACTGGGTCCTCATAGTCTGGATTCATTCCCTTCGGCTTGGTGTATATACGGGTTAGACTGAGATATTCCCAAATCTTCTCGAGCAAGCCATCAAGATTCCATTCCAAATGAGCACTGCAGGAAATCATAGAAAAAGCATTTTACGATAAGATTGATAGATTCTTAAGTGAAGAGAAGACAAGAACTTAAAATGATTCCAGCAACTTCATTTCTCAGAGAATAAGGCAATGAAAAAACACAACAGAGAACAAAAACAGAAGCATAGATGACTAAAGACATGCACTACAGAAGTACAGCAATTAACGAAATTTATCAGGCTTGAACTGAGTGTAACATGTCAAAATGTATGATAAGAGCTTATATGAGAGTCTTAGTTACATACAATATGGGTGTAGTCATTCTCTACTACAAAAAGTAAGTACTACTCTACTAGAAAAAACAAAAGGCATGCTCAGTTATTATTTTACTAAAGTTCAAAGATCTATGTATGTTGTGAATCTAGAAATATTATGAAATTATACTCCAATCCTTCTGAATTTCGATAGATGTGATGACAGGAAGTCAGAGTAACCTCACTGAAAAGTAAATATAACCCAAAAAAAGATGGTTGTGAACCACAAGCAGGAAATGCATAGAACATTCATATCCATCCATAACTTTTGTAAGAGGTCCTTAACCCTGAACTCATGAAGTTCAAACGCCAAGCCTACGCCATGTGATGGAGCCAATCCAATCGTCCAAAAAGATCTAGCCAGCCAACACCTACTTGCCTCTTTACTGGACGGTGGCAGTTGAATCAATGTTTAGTAGAACAACTATTCAACTACACACATTACTTCAATAATGATTTTTCAATATCGGCTACTTGTTGTTGATATGATGTTTGCCAACCAAACGAAATCTAAGTCTGACCTTACTGGAAATATCAAAAGAAAAAAATTGACTTGAATAGGGTCAACTACAACGAGAAGAACAATGTGTCGCTCAAATGATGAATGGAAGGAATAAAGTGGCATACACAGTGCTAATCGAGATTTTACCAAGATTGCGGAGTCTGATGTATGTTCATCATCAAGAGTCAAGCTATATTAAAGAAGTGCATATTTCTTATACACTTTATCGAAGTATTAAGAAGTGAACATTTCTATTAGGCTTTCACCAATTTCATTCAATTTGTGTCACGGGTTCCTATATGTTGTTATCCATGAAGCTTTTATTTACCGAAATCTGTAAATGATAGATGAAAAGAAACAAACACAAAACTTTAAAAAATGGATAACTACCTGATCGGACAATAATGGGGAAGTTTATCCAGAATCTCTAGCTCTTCCATTGTGATTTGATCAATTTTGTTCACAACATAGATGCAAGGTGTGTATACTCTACTGCCTTCAATGACATCAATAAGGTCATCAGCAGTTGCATCATACCTAAGATGAACATCAGCATTATGTATTCTGTATTCACTGCATATGGCCTTTACGGTATCGAGGTCCAAATGAGTGTTGGTCACTGTTGATGTTAAATTGATCCCACCCTTCTCTTTCTTCCTGAATGTCAGATTAGGTGGTTCCTTGTTCAACCTAATAAAGGGAAGAGCACCAAGAATCGTGAATCAATAGGGGGGAAAAGGAAAAGCAGATTACATAAGGGGAACACAAACATTCCAACAGTCTATTACCTGATGCCAAATCCCTCAAGCTCTTTCTCGATGAGACGTTTGTGAGTAATTGGTTTTATTGCATCAAGAACAATAAGTATACAATTGCAAGTCCTTGCAGTACTGATAACCTGTATTTGTCATCAGTCACAAGATAAGTGATATTAAGCCCACCAACTACATCTTAATAAAACAAGAAATGAAGGTTGAAGACTCTCAAGGTATCATGTCATACATCAATAATCATGAGCACATGGCAATTCGTTTAGACCTATTTATAAAAGTAAAGAGGAATGGGGGACAGATATTTGAGGGAATGTGACTATTGTTGGCCGTGATTTGGTGCATTTAGTTGACATGCAACACCAGATCATCCCCTTTCTTAGTGTAGTTCTACAATAGTTATCATGTCTTCATTATAGCCAAAATATTCAGGTCCTTCCTTAGTATAGCTATTCATTGAAGGTACAGTTAGGAAGGGGAAATGACCAATGTAAATCTGGATGTAACTATGGCTTTATCAAGAAGTGGGTGTATTTTCTTTGAGAGGTGTGCTTTAGTGGTTCCATATACTTCATTCAACTGTTTATAATTTCATCCCATCTACTCCAAATTATTTGGCAATTTTTATTGGAGAAGAAGTTAAGAAAGAAATAATTTGATGCATAAGCTTAATATGTAAGAAGTACCAAAACTACCCTTTGATGTTTGTTTTTATATGCACTGGGGCCTACAACAACTCATGTCAATGGTAAATTAGGAATGTAAAAGTTAAATAGTTTCTAAATAATTAGATATAGCAAAGGTTACTCATTTTGCGACCCAAAAAAAAAGAAAAGAGTATTAAGCAAATGAGAATGGAGGGTGTATTCAATGTGGAGAAAATACACAGATATTCTCTGGTATCTTCTTGACTGATCTTCATCATGATTGGAGAGAATTCATTTCAGGTACCATTTTCTTAGGTTTTAAATGTATCTACTTGTTGTCTTGGATACAGAGTCCTTAAAAATTAAATCTCTGTTTTCTTATGAAAACATATATGGTGCTAAAGAAATAATGAGATAGCTAAGAAGCAAACGCAACACTTTACCTGCCTTCCTCTACCTTTTCCATCCTTGGCACCCTCAATAATTCCTGGGAGATCCAACAACTACCAAAAAAATCAGGAAAAGGGATGAGCAAGAGAGTTTTATATTAAGCAAAATTATAGAATCAAACATTATGATTTTTATTTTATAAGTAGAATTAACATTATGATGCTTGTGAGATGGATAATCCTATATGATGTGAACCACACACATTAAAGAAAAAGAAGAAATAAGGATATCAAGAGTAAAAGCTAAGTAGTCTTTCACACTGTTCACCATGTGCCCTTGTTTGCAATAAAGTTGATAAAAGAGTTTCATGAATTAGGAAAACTTAGTAATACTTCACTACCTGGCACCTGCAACTTTAGTTTTATTTACATTCTCCCAATTACAGGTATCTTTTGTGCGGACTAATGCTTATTTTTATTGCCTGCATGGTGAATAACACAACTTTGCCACCGGTCAGGAGCTCGCTCTTAACATGTACAATTAAAAGAAAAGATAAGGAGGGAAATGACGAATGGAAGTTAATGTTGGGTTAATTTTGGGGAAACGGACCAATTCAGCCTTGAGGAGCCCAATGCTATGAATAGATACCATTAATAAAAAGAAATCAAATTTATTAGAAGTTGGTACATAACACCACACAACTTAATCAGCACTTGACATCCAAAAATAAAGGGCAGCTCCATGCACTAAACATCTCGCGTTCATGCAGGGTCTGGGCAAGGCAGCGTACCCAAAATTTTCAATAAAAACTGGTTTTTTACACTGAAAGCCTTTTTGTCTCATTCATTCCACATCTACTTATCTTTGACCATTTTCCTTCTCGAGGAAAGAGCTTCCACATTAAGGCCAGGTTAACTCACTTGGCTCCAACAATGCTATACATTAAGGGGGTGTTTGGTTTACCTCACTAATAGAAATAATCTCAACATAAAATTCTGCTAAGTTAATATCATGTATGGTTGGTTGTACAAGAAAAAAATAAATGCCACGTAACTCTATAAAGTGGTTGGTTACTCTGCATTGTTTATACATGCACAAGTATGGGGTATGCACAACCTGCTCAGATACCACGATTATTAAAAAGATACATGCATAATTTATGCAAAAATCTGTATGTTATTTTATGTAGAATAGAATGTGGAATAAGAATACATGTATTAGCCATACACGGAGTATTCCCACAAATTGGGTTTAGGGAGGGCAGTGTGTACGCAACCTTACCCCTACCTGAAGCGGGTAGAGAGGTTGTTTCTCATAGGCCCTCAGCTCAAGGCACGCATAATCACAGCAGTAAGGAAAAACAATATAGTAGTGAAAAAAAGTCATGAAAAGAAGCAGATAGCAACAAAACCAATGCAGAAGCAACATCGGATAGTAACAGAAATCTAAGAATAAAACAAAATGAGAATAATCCTAAAACTACTGGTATGGAAAGGAAGTAGCTCTATACCCTACGAATCCTCTACCCTAATAATCTTCTATCCTAATTCTCGACCTCCACAACCTTCTGTCAAGGGTCATGTCCTCGGTAAGCTGAAGATGTACCATGTCCTGCCTAATCATATCTCCCCAATACTTCTTCGGCCTTCCTCTACCTCTCCTAAAAGTAACTAAGAATAACTAAAGTAATCAATCCCTATTTTATTATTCACCGTATAAAAAATAAATTTATCATAATCTCTCCATAACTAGCCCGTGAACAAATGACCAATAATACATTAAAGGCTCTTCCAGAAAAGGGAATTTTCGGCTTCATCAGTGCTTCATATTAATGGGGAAGAATGCTCTTGTAATAAGGCAAGCCACGAATAGAATTGCAAGCAGTGCAGGTTCTTCTAGGAAAAATTATACTGATACTCACCCTAGAGAGAATAGCAATAATTGCTTCTAGCTTATAAAAGGAAACACAATCACAACATTTAGCAAGTGATTCTAATATATAAGAGAAAACAATATACATATGAAATCACAACTCTTTATTCTTATACTTTTGGATAAGTGAAACCACATCTTATACCTAGTGTCAACATAATCATAATTTGAACATACTCTCCCTTAAAACTGAGAAAAAGTACACTTCAAGAGACCCACGATTTAGTGTTCACTCCTAAGTTAATCAGTTAATCAACAAGTTAGATAACTGCCTTCCATAGTTCAGAGTTCACTCCTCCTCTGATTATCTGGATTATATAATTGAAACTAAGACATTTACAGAAGCAACCAGTGGCTAATAAAACCTAGAAGCACATTGCAAGGAAGAAAATCCTCCATGAGAAAATCTCATTGCAGAGTAACTAGTACAAACTGTTTTCAAATTCTCCTTATTTATGATTACAAAAATCTACTTCCAAATATTTCTGGACACAAGTGAGCAAAAGTAGTATCAGTATCCAAATAGATCAATTCCTATTCTCATCAAAAAAGCAGTACTCCTTCAAGTTGACAGTTTTATTTGCACAAGTAGCAAACTATAGCTGATGCGTTCTTAAGTGCCAGGTTCTAAAAAAATCATGAAGGTTTATGATACCTGGATTTTAGCTCCTCGATACATGATGACACCAGGAATGCACGTTAAGGTGGTAAATTCATATGAAGCAACCTGTCAACCACAGAAGAGGGCTTGTTAAGAAAAGGCATAATGAAACCACCTTGCAACGTAAAGTTCCATCGTGTTTTTCCTAGAAGCGTCAAGCCAACAGAACAGGTTATATTTGCTTGGACAGCCGATTGTAGTAGCACAAATGACTCGTAATCAAAGGCTTCACTACTTAGAAAAGAGTTGATTTTGCTTTAAAGATACAGATCCGACTAATGATCAATAACTACCTATATATTTTCTTGCCACTACTTTTAAAGTTCATTTGGTGGTCCCCAAAAAGTTAGAGCAGAAAAACAATCAACTCGAGAAATAACTGATTTGCTTATTTCTTGACTTACGAGAATCAAAATCAAATGATGAAGCCTTTTCTCCCCTTGAAATGTTAATTTGTCTCTGATTAATGATCACAAGTTAAACCTTGTGATAAGAAATTAGATCTAACTTCCAAAATAGAGAACGTAGTAAAAAGTAAAAACTCTTGCCCCCTTCCATCCATAAAAGAGAGAGAAAGGAAAGAGAAACACAAAATAATAGATAAGGGAAAACGTTATGTAAGAACAAAGGATAAGTTTCCAGAAAACAAACCTGAGCAACTTGTGCTACTATATTTTAAAGAGATTTCTAGCTAACACGGCGCATGTATTCAAATTGACTAAGTTAAGCATTCAAATTAATCAAGTTAGGCCCTGATTAGGAGACTGTTACATGTATTCAAATTGACTAAGTTAAGCATTCAAATTGATCAAGCTAGGTACCCTGATTAGGAGACTGTTACAAAACTATATTGCCACTTCACCTTCCCTATTCTGTGATAAACTCAAGAATAGACACATTAACTACCAAATCACTAAGCAAGCTATAGAATCACAATTTGACATTATAAGAGTAACTTCCATGTGTAAATTCGTCCAACTTATATTGAAACAAGTTCTATGTTTCGTGCATAGGTCCATCTTTTCAGACTCTAGTTCATGCTGATGCTACTACAGTACAGCGCATGGCAATGCTACTCAGCTACTGTAGTGAAGAAGATCCACATCTAGCAATTAGTTTATATTTGCAGGTAGGAAATTTATATGTCTTTCATGACTCAGAGTATCAGCACCACCTACTTTTAACAGTGTAACCTACCCACAAAGACTTCAAGCCGATTCTTTTCTGTTGAATGTTATCAGCCGCAAAAGCTAAGAAAAGAAGAATTCAAGAAAGCATCTTCATGCATCTATAGAGCTAAAGTGTTTAATTTGTTGCCCTCATGTTTCTCCTATTCTAGAAGATTTCTCACTTTTCCCTAATAAACTCATTATTAAATTTTTCAGTTATGCTCCTTGCTCAAAGACTACATTTCCCACACTTCATAGAAAAGACTAAATTTCCTAGAAGAATTATATATATGTTCCTTTTTTCCTCTTATTATTCATTCTGGAGTTCCAAAAATCATTTGTGAAGAATACAACAACTCCTTATTTGAAGGATAAACTTCATTTTGCATCATTGTACTGCTTTCTCATCAATATAAAGTTCGTTACTCATAGTAAATCTTTTTCCTTCCAAAACCATGTGAACTTTCAAACCACAAAAATTTGAAATTGTATCTGCCAATTCTTATCATCTTAAAGAGCATATGAGCCAGAGTATCATACTCATTTCCTCTAAGAGGGGGCTGAGTTCAGAAAAACTAAGTGTTTTTATATGGTAAACCTACCGATCAACTC